CGTAAAGAGTTTATTTTGCGACACCACGAAACAAACGATAGCGTAAAATGAAACGATAGACGTTTTTATATCGTCATCCGATATATATCGTTATATCGAACAGCCCTAGTCCTGATGTCCTAGATCCTCCCAGCAGAGATGTGAGCAGAGGAGGAGACATGCGGCTCTTCTGATTCCTTCTTTTTCAATCCCTCCATTTAAAAGCAGAAGTTCACACTGCAGTAGTTGTACACTGTTACCTCATTTTTGTGGTCCAGCCAGTGCTTAATCAGTGTATTTACACATTAGTATTAGACACGGTTTGGTTTTTGTAATCATCCTGCAGTTCACTGAAACTCTCCAAGGCCTTATAAATAAAAAAGATTAATTACTATGTTTGACCAAGACACCATTACAATGATCACACCAGTGTATCTAAATTCATTAAACTCCTGATATGCTGTACTAAAATTTCCTGTCACATCATTAAAGAAGCATGAACACTTTTAAAACACATTTCATGGAACAACTTTCAATTTATTTCTAAAGCACCAACATGCTGTACAAAAAGAAAATAAAAAAATATGAGATCAAGAATAAATAAGTATGTACAAAGAGTAAAAGTTTATGACATTTGAAAACAGCAGGAGATGGAGCCTGTCTCCAGCAGCACATTTTAGGAAAAACTTCAAAGGCTCCTCTGGATTTATAAAATGTCTTTGGGAGAGTCAAAAGCACCTGGTTAGCTGATCTACAAGCACGTGACAGCATGTAAGGGTGAAATATCTCAGAAAAATAAGGCGGGGCAAGACCATTAGGAGACTTGAAAACAAATAAAAGAATTTTACATGACATTACATGAACATGACTCTAAAACCGGGGCTATGTGCTCTGGTTTGCTTGTACCAGTTAAAAATCGTGCAGCAGCGTTTTGTACCAGCTGCTGACGTGAGGGCCCTGCTAATTCCAATCAAAAGAGAATTACAATAAGCCAGACGAGAGGTGATAAATGCATGGATCTGTGTCTCTGGGTGGCATCTAGACAGGATGGACTTAATTTTTGACAGCTGCCTCAACTGAAAGATGGAGGACTTAACCACAGCTTTGACACGTGAGTCGAGTTTTAGGCTGGGGTCCATTTTCACACCTAAATTAGTGATGCTGGATTTTTCATGGGGGCCAAAGAGGAAAGGTCAAAGGCAGGGATACAGCTGGAGGCACTGGATTTAGCATGACCTCAGTCCATATTCTCTGTGGCAGAAGCTTTAGTGTGAATCCTGAGCCTTGTTTTTTTGTCAGAGCCATCAGCTGCAGGGATGAACAACAGTATTATTTTACATGTAAAGTAACACACAGGCTGATCTGCTCTGACTTATTCTCTGTTCTTTGGCAAAGCTGCTTTCTCCCCTCGCTCTAACTCAGAATATGAAAACATACAGCAGGTTCTCAGTGAGCGATGCACCAACCTGATCATATCATGAAAATTAATACATGCTTATGTGTAAGGGACCGTCACACAATTAAATATTTACTTTCTATCTTTAATTTAAATCAATTAAATGTAACAAGGACTTCCAAAAATAGAAACCTACTGATCTGATCTTTATTAGGGAAATAATAAATTATTATTAATAAGTTATTATTAAATAATAAATTATTTATTAATGTTTTACAGCTAGCAAAGATCAACTTGATGTGGATCCAACTCTGTGAGACTGATATCAGACTGGTGCAGTAGTATCCTACATTATACTTACGGGGCAGAGTTACGGAGCCCCGCAGGGGACATGGGAGAAAAAAAAATTAAGACGGACTTTTGCGAGATCTTGCAAAACTAACTCGGGATCTCGCAAAACAAACTTGGGATCTCGCAAAAGTCCGTCTTAATTTTTTTCTCCCATGTCCCCTGCGGGGCTCCGTACAGAGTAAAAGCCACCGGAAAAAGAAGAAAAAAGTATTCAGCTGCAACATGAGTTTAAAATGTCTCCGTCACTACCACAGTACAGAATAATGTGACTTATAATTACACATCATGGAGCTCAATGCTACACATTAGCTGAGGAAAACTTACCCGTGCTGCTTCTGAGACTGGTTTCCTCAGCCTCGTCTTCATTACCCTCGTCTTCCTCAACCTTCTCATTGTCAGCCTCAACATTTGTTACAACCACTGCTACACTTCCTGTAAAGACAACATAGATTTTGAGCTATATGAAGCAAAACGGCAAACTTTACTACCCTGATATAAAAGAGGCACTGTTACTACATAAAACACATACAGAACATTAAGACCCATCTT